AACAGACAAAACCACTGATAAAAATAATGTTTTCTCCTTTCGCACAGATTTCTGTTTTGCATCATTAAATGTCCCATTTGCAGTCATGCCCTACAATTAACAAAGCACTGCTGGGCTCCACTGCCCACCTTGTGTACTTGGGTGGGCCGGGCCTTTTCTACTAGTCTTTACTCCCCATGTACAAGTGAGAAGGGAAGCTCAGAGCCAGAAGAGTTACTGCTATGACTAACAAAAGGGCAGAAGAAGGCCCTGGCTGTTGGATACTGCTGACCCCTGCGGTTGCTTTCCCCAAGGTGAAGTTCATGAAAAGCAAGCCGGGGGCTGCTATGGTGGAGATGGCTGATGGCTATGCTGTGGACCGGGCTATTACTCATCTGAACAACAACTTTATGTTTGGGCAGAAGATGAATGTCTGGTAGGTGGTGTTGCCCCAGGCAAGAGTTTTGGAGGGCTGGGTAAGAAAGATGAAAGGATTGTGGACCCTAAAGAGAAACACGGTGAGCCTGAGGTGCTTACTCAGGTTGAAGCAAGGTGTGATATTCTCTGCAGTTCTTCACCACTCGGAGCCCTCCCTTCTGCTGCGAAGCAGTGTTAACACAGGCACATAGGCTAATGGATGGGGCCAGCAGTGTTTTTGCCAGGGAGATTCAGTGGAGGGCTTGGGGTCTGACAGTGTTTCCCCTTTCTTTCCTCTTACATAAGTGTCTCTAAGCAGCCAGCCATCATGCCTGGTCAGTCATACGGGCTAGAAGATGGCTCTTGCAGTTACAAAGACTTCAGTGAGTCAAGGAACAATCGGTTCTCCACCCCAGAGCAGGCTGCCAAGAACCGCATCCAGCACCCTAGCAATGTGCTACACTTCTTCAATGCCCCCCTGGAGGTGACTGAGGAGAACTTCTTCGAGGTGAGTGCATGGTCTCACATCACAACCGTGGGATTTTGCCACATCAGTTGAGCTGCTGCTTTGCCAGGCCCTGGAATGAATGCTGGGTACACTCTGCCAGGGATCCTTCCCTGTTTGCGGTGATAATAGTGGATGAGAGTAGTGCCATGCTTTTAACAGCAGAGTTCACCGTATGCTTTGCACTGTTAAGCTGAAACAGCTGCTGGTTTGCTGGAAGGTTTCTTGGCTGGTGATCAGAGTACAGTCTTAGTGCAGCCATGTTGTCAGGGCCTCCAGGTACTTTAGTAGCTTGGGAAGGTGGAGCCCTGGGAAGCAGGGTGAGGGAAGTAAGGCACCTGGCAAGAGAAGAGGTCAGACTGGGCACTGGTTTGGCCTCAGGTGTTGCTTCAGTTGAGCAAACATTTGTAATGTCAAACACTTTCCTAGTCCTTTGTGTTTCTACCCTTTTATGCCCAGGATACCTTAAAGGGTGTGATTAAAACCTAGAAGAAACCCTTGCCCCAGAAAGTTTCTAGCACTTAGTCCTACAAGGCCTGGTCTACTGGAGTGCTCCCCCATGTTCTTGTTTCTGCAAATTCCTTCACAGTCTTATTATTACAGATCTGTGATGAGCTGGGAGTGAAGCGACCAACTTCTGTGAAAGTATTCTCAGGCAAAAGTGAGTCGGGTGTCCTGCCTTCCTCTTGTTTTCTTGGTTCTCTGTGGCTAGCTGCCTGGGCTGCCTAAAACATATGTTTTCTCATCAGGTGAGCGCAGCTCTTCTGGGCTGCTGGAGTGGGAATCCAAGAGTGATGCCCTGGAGACTTTGGGCTTCCTGAACCATTACCAGATGAAGAACCCAAGTGAGTATTTGTGTGTCCTGTAGTCATTCCCCTGGTAGCCCAGTGGGTTGGCTGGCATCAGTCAAGAGCCATCCTTCCTGCCCTTGAAGTAGGACCCAAGAGATTTCATCCCTGTCCCTGACAGGTGGGTGGGATCTGGTCGCCAGGAGAGCAGCCTGATGATACTCCTCCTGGGAAGGCCAGCCTAGCTGTTTGCTGCTACCCACTTGGGAGCTGCTTGAGCTTGCCTTCCAAGGAGCTGGCATTCTTGCGTCAAGAGATTGGTGCACAATCCAGAAAGGGTTGGAAGCTGGAAGCTGAAGTTAAAGCTGCCTACTCACTTGCTCAGCCAGGCCTACAGCTCTAGGTAGCTAAGGAGGCCAAAATTTGCTCCTCTGGGGGTGTGAGGAAGAAAAGGGAGCGGACCTAGTATGCAGGGCTCATAAGGTTTCAGGTTGCATGATGACAAGTTAGACCCAGGCAGGTGAACTACAGAAAACAGGAAGCGGGTGCAAAATGAGAAGATCTGGCTGAGAGAGCCTCATTAGAAGGCCCCAGTCAGATTCCTGTCTTTTCCTTTGCAGATGGCCCATACCCTTACACTCTGAAGTTGTGCTTCTCCACTGCTCAGCATGCCTCCTAATCAGGGGCCCAGGAAGAGCCACCTAAGCAGGAAAACGGTTCTCTTTTGTTTTCGCCATTGGGGTTTCTTTGTTTTTTCTTTTTGCAAAAGTTCTTGTATTCCTTTTTTTAATGCTAGTTAGTAGAGGCTTAACCATAATGGAAATGCTGGAAGTCTGGAGGGGTGGGAGAGGGGAACTGATATCTCCCAAGATTAACCTTCACTTTTTAAAAATTATTGTACATGTGATTTTTTTTTTTCCTGTTCATACATTTGTGCTGCCTATGTATTCTTGGCACATTTCAATAAAATTGTTTGGAAAATAAACTTGGCAGTTGCTGGGGTTCCAAGGTATGTCTCCTTCCCTGTCTCCCACTCAAGTCTTTTGGTGCAGGCAGGCCACCGACCTGAGAGAAGCAGGCTGGCCTTCAGGCCAAATGATACTGGGGACGGAGGAGAAGATCCTGCCGGCCAGGTGGCATTCTTAGAGGGCCCTGCCCAAGCAAGCTCATTCTAGTAGGAGAGGTTTTAAAAAATAAGTGATAGGTGATGTGTGCCTGTACTCCACACACTACTCAGGAAGCTAAAGCAGGAGAAAACGTTGAGCCCAGAGAGTTCAAGGCCAGCCTGGACAACATTGCAAAACCACACGTTAAAAAAATGTTGATTGTCTTTATAAGATTGGAAAATGAAAGTCCTCACTGAGCTCCTTTAATCAATGGTTAATTTTTTGTGGTTCTTTTTTTTTCTCCTCCATAAGGAAGGTTGGGTTTTTCCCTTTGTGCTATACAGCATTTTGCATTAGATAAAATGCTTTCCTTATCTTTATCCCTGCAGAGTGTCTTGTGAGGGCGTGTCATCGTTTACTTAACCTGGTTCTGAAAATAATTTCTAGCTCTTGTCACTACAAACATTTCTGCAGTATTCATTATTTATACAAATTCTGTGAAATTGCTGTGTTGAAAGAAATACTTGGCAGCGTAAGATAAATGCTCACCACTTGATGTTACCCTGTGTGAACATGGCTCTAGCAGGGCAAAGGCTGAAAGGAATCTGGGTTAAGGGCCTTGCCATCCTTGAAGAATGAGGTGGCCCGCAGGGAAACGTGTCACAGATGTGTCATCTGGGGAGTTACGTACATCCACTGTACATCCACTTGAGAACCTGTGAGACTTTACCTGAAGTTTGTGGTCATAACATTGGAAACGTCTACTGCAGTAACATGATGTCATTCAAATAAACAAATTCATTTGCCAGGGAAAGTTTTACTTTTAAATCAACTTTTTTAAAAAAAGAAACAGTCCAAAGAATGGGGATAAAAGTGAATTTTACCAGTGCTCCTAGCTTCTAATATTACACCAAAGGATTACACTAAATCTTAAAAAGTTTTGCCTCACATCTTTTGATACTGTGTGGTGTTTCCCACTGCATGGAGAAAGACACAGTCCTCTGTGAATGGATAGTTGCTGGTGCTTTCAAAAGGGCCTCCTATTTAGCCTGCAGAAATAGATGGCAGACACATTAATAGGAAAGATTCCCTACAGTCCCACTGGCCCAGAGACATCTGTTCAAAGCCTTGGTGAACATCTCCCTAAGGAACCTACTTAAACAGTATTTGCTATGCTCTTGGGTAACTGTTTTTCCAAGGGGTTTTACTTGTTTGAGAACATGGACTTAGCTGGGCCCAGAGGTGCACGCCTGTAATCTCAGCCCTTTGGGAGACAAAAGATCACAAGCAAAAACTGTCTCAGAAAAGAAGGGGGCCTAGTATCAGAGCACTTGCTATGGGGGAGGGGGTTATGGGGTCCCCGGGGTTCAACCTCAGAATTTACAAAAAGAAGTTTAAAAAGCATCCTAGGGGCTGGGGATTTAGCTCAGCGGCATAAGCGCCTACCTTGCAACCAGGCAGTCGTGAGTTCGATCCCTGGTACCGATGAAAAGGAAAAAGACCAAGAAAAAAAGGCATCCCAGCCCTCTGGGAGGTTGAGGCCAGAGGATTGAACTGCATAGCATGACCTTGTCGCAAGACAAAAAAGGGGGCTGGGGATTTAGCTCAGCAGCATAAGCACCTGCCTTGCAAGCAGGCGGTCGTGAGTTTGATCCCCGGTACCGATTTAAAAAAAAAAAAAGAAAAAAGTTAAACATGCAGAGTTGGGAACCATGAGCATGTAATACAGCTCCCACAGTCCAGAAGCCTGGTGATCCTGAACATAAGTGACTTTGCCGCACTGAGTCTGGGTCCTCTGAGTACAATGAAAAATAGTGTGAACTCCGGATAGTACGGGAATTTAGACAAATACAGTCAGTGTTTAACACAACTGCCTCCCTGCACTCTTCACTCCTGCGTGTGGGTAAACTCAGTACTGGAAGTCAAATTTTAGTTCGCATAAATGCATGATTATAAACTTGGGCACAGTTGCTCTCCTGCTAGTATATCCTTGGTCATTTCAGCTGTCTCCAATTTGTCCACCACTTACAAAACAGTGCTAATGATGAACTTTATACAGAATTCTCCAGCAATAGCGTGACTTTATCTCAGACCACGTTCCCACTGGGGCAAAGGGTTTTTTCCTAAGCTTATCTGTTTGCCAGAGACTCTGAAAGAAAAGCTATTTCCGATTGCCCTTAGTAAAGATGGCGCAAGAGACGGCGTCATTGCTATCTAGGCTTAGGATTCGATGCTCTCGCCAAAGATGGCGGACTTTGTGCCCGCCCCTTTTCTTGTTTTCCTTTGGTGTTAGTCGGAGCGTCTCAGAAGTCGGAGTCGATAATGGCTGCTGGTAAAGTGCGGAACTTGTTTTTGCGGCGTAAGTTTGTTTCCTCTTGCTCTGTTGGGGTCCGTTGCCGAGTCTTACTGTCATGACGGCCGTAAGAGAGGAGGCCTATGGAGGTCCTAAAGGTCCAAGTCCTGTAAATTCAGATGTCTATGAGGGGCTGATTCTATAGTCGTGTGACTTGGAATCTGGGGCTCGCTGAAAGTTCAGGGTCTCCAGACATGGGTCAGTCCCACAATTAAGGGGCTGAAGTAATCTCGGACTGAATACCAGTAAGTGCACCCCAACCCTTACCCCCTACCCCAAGTCTCTAAGGAATTTGTGTTCTCCAATCTACAGTCAGTGAGGTGTGTGTCTTCTGCTCTGAAGATGCAGTGTCCCTATTAGGACATCATCAAAGGCTCTTCTGACCTTTCTCTCCAGAACTGAGAGCTCCCACCCAGCTGGGCTTCAACCCCAGCTTTCGTCCCATGAGCTCCACCGCAAAGGATGAGGCCCCCAGAGCAACTGGCTCTGAAGCCCCAGGACACAGCTATGAGTCCCTTCAAGTGACATGTGCCCAGAAGCATGTTCTCCATGTGCAGCTAAACCGACCTGAGAAGAGAAATGCCATGAACAAGGCCTTCTGGAGGTCTGGCCTGTAGATCCTGGAGTCCTACCTGGTGGAGGAGACGGGGGGGGGGGGGGGGGGTAGAGGACAGGCCCAGTGTGTACTTGGAAGAACAAATGAATATAAAAGCAGCCGATTTGCACCCTAGATGTAGCTCTTCATTCTGCTTCTCCACAGGGAGATGGTAGAATGCTTCAACAAGATAGCACAAGACCCTGACTGCCGGGCTGTGGTGATCTCTGGTGCAGGGAAAATGTTCACTTCAGGTACTTGTCACCTCTTGTGTCCCCTCTTCCTGGCCCTAGAACAGCTGCTTCTCAATGAGGGTTTTAAGCAGCATCTAACTTTACACATTTACAATTTTTATTGTGTTTTATTTATTTTTTGTCTTTTTGAGACAGAGTTTCAGTCTGGCCTTGAATTTATTTTGTAACCCAGGCTAGCCTCGAACTCACAGCAATCCTCCTGACTCAGCCTGCCAAGTGCTAGGATTACAGGCACGCACCACTACCCCTGGCCCAACATTTTACAGTTTTTTATAAGGTCTCATTTTATTTTATTTTATTTTTTTTCTCAAAGCACTTAGATTAATAAGGCCTCATTTTAAATATAGAGGACTTGCTAGGTGTGCTGGCACAGTCATTTAGTGGCCCTGCTACTTTGTTCTTCAGATCAGATTATTTCCATCAGTTGTTAACTGGCTTTTCAGTCATCTTTGTTCTGCTGTTAAGACCCTCTAATGATTATTAATCTCAGAGCATGCACTTAGCATGCCCAAGAGCTTGGGTTCCATCGCCAGTACCAAAAACAAAAAATAAGTAAAATAAAGGAATTGTAGTTTTTACTGGGTATGGTGGTGTGTACCTATAATCCTAGCATTCAAGGAGGATGAGAGAGGAAGATTGTAAATTCAAATCCAGCATTGGCAACATAGTACCTTAGCAAGACTCTGTCTCAAAATAAAAAATAAAAAGGTCTGGAGATGTAGCTCAGTGTAAAGGCCTTGGGTTCAGTTCCCAGCACCACACAACACAAATGTAGTTTTCAATTTGCAAATTTCCATTTGGTTACATTTCTCTGCTGAATTGTCACAACTTTTTATTTGTCTTGAACATATTTTCCTTTGCATTACTGAGCATAGTTATATGGCTGCTATAAAATCCTTGTCTCCTAAAAAGAAAACCTTTGTCCCCTGATTCTGGGAACTGGGTCATCTGAGGCAGCAGTTTGTTTGTTGTCTTTTCTCTTGAAAATGGTTTTCGTATTCCTGTTTCTTTGTATTTTGAGTAAGTTTGAATTCCATCCTGGTTATTGAAGAATAAGAGGTGTAGACTCCAAACTTTATATAACTCCATAGAGTGTTGAATTTTCCTGTTTTAGTGCTTAGTCAGAACTAACTTTTAAATCTTGTGCTGGGCTGTATGCATGGCTTCATGAGTCAGCAAGAGATTTCAGTAGTTTGTACACAGGATTTGGGGCTCCCCTTTCTGGCTCTTCCTTTTCTGAAATTTTCTCTTACTTTTAGTAGCTGTGTTCACCCAAGACTCTGTCCTGTGGCTCTTTAAGCACGAGCCTGCCTTCAGCCTAAAAGCTTTAAGACAGGAGGCTCAGCACATACTTGCCACTTTTTTGAAATGACAACTCCTTTCAGGTTCTTCAGTGGCTTCCGGTAACTGTCTTGTCTGGCCAGAATTCATCAGGGGAGGTTAGTCTTTTAGAGCATAGCAGAAGCGAGATGTCAAGTGTGTTGATTTCTCCACTGGGCCCGGTCCAGTGCTAGGTGACTAACACAGCCCTGGGGTCCTTCACTGAGTCCCAAGTCAGTGGGAAAGACACACAGTAAACAATCTAGGCTCTTCTGGTTTTTCACACCCCATCTTTTCTCTCTATACCTCTCTGTTTCTCCTTTCATTTGGTCATTCATCTGACACATTTTCAAGGGGTCAGTGTGGTGCCAGAGCCGCCCCTCACCTTTAGGGAGCTTATGGCTGCACTTGTGCCATACCAGGCCAAAGCCCTCATCTTTTAGGGTCCAGCTGATTACAGCCATGGCATCGCCTCTTCAGCAGTAAACCTGGAGGGCAAAGGAAGAAACTCAGCGACCCAGTGATAGAGTGAAAATACTGCTACCCCCACCCAGTATCAGGATTGAACCCAGGCCTTTGCACTGAGCTACATCTCCAGCCACCTACGCCCCCTCATCTTGAGATAATTTCTCAGTATGTCCATGCTGGCCTCAAACTTGAAGTCTTCCTGCTTCAGATTCCTAGAATGCTGGCATTACAAGCTTGTACTGCCATGCCCAATGGAAACTACTAGTTTGTTTTTGTTTTTTTGAGACAGTATCTCCCTGTGTAGTTCAGGCTGGCCTTGAACTTACTGTGTAACCCAGTCTAGCCTCTAACTTGTAACAAGCCTCCTGTCTCAGCCTCCTGAATGCTAAGATTACAGGCGTGTACCACCACACCCAGCAGAAGTTATTAATTTTTTAAATGACCACACTTGCCAGGTGTCCTTTATTATCTTGCAATTGCCTCTGCAGGTCCAAGAAGAACAGTCAAAACAGAAAAACCAGTGATAGGAGATAGCACAGGATGCCTTGCTAGGCTTATTCCTGGACTCAGCATAGCTGCTGAGTCACATAGAGCTCTTAGACAGGAAACAGGAGCCACTGGCAGGCTGATCCAGGTCATGACCTCTGCTGAAATGGAGAACACGTAATAGTGACTATGCCTCCACCATGCCAGGGCCACACAGTGCCTCTGGAGCTGCACCTCTGTGTACCCGCTCTGCTCCTGGGATTTCAGAGAAGCCACTCAGGTTCCTAGATGAAGTGATCCAGCCAACTATCCCAGAGCATCCTGCTTTCCACACCTGTGCCATGGTTTAAAAGACAGCAAAGCTGTTCGGCAGTTCAGGGGTGAGCATGGCTCCTCAGGTTTGTCCAGTGACACTGTAGTGACCAGTAAAAGGACAAGAAGGGTTAGGCTCAGCTGGAAAAGTGGGGGGTAACTGCTCGCCTCTTGTGGTGTAGGTCCGAGTTCTCCCCACCTGTCGCCCCTCCGATCCTGGCTCCTCTCGTTGCTTTGCTCACAGCTGCAGCCTGCAGGCCTCCTTCAGATCCGCAATCCTCACTTAGACCAGGGCCTTTGGGCTGGCTGTTCCTGACCTGCAGCTCGCCCCACACATGCCCGTGGCACCTTCCTTCTCCCAGACCTGTCTCAGAGGTCACCTTGTCAGTGAGGAAGTCATTTGACCCTGTAGCCATCACACACACACACACACACAGGAAGTCCATTCTGCTTCCTTTTGTTCTTCTTGAACACTTACCACAACCTGAAAAAATATACTTTTCTCCTCATTTGTCTGTCTTCCCATATGGACAGCAATTGTCATCTGTGTTGTCTACTACTTGAGCACCTACTGTGTACCAGGCCCTGTTTCAGGCCAAAGGAAGAGAGTGGTAGGAGAAAAAAGAGACAGAAAAGCTCCAGGGTTCCCAGAGCTGACATCCTAAAGCTGCCAGTGCTCAGTGAGATAAACTCCTGATTGAGTGCAGACTGGGCAAGGCCGCAGAGTCAGAGGTGGAGAGTGGCTGGGACAGCTGCTCCCAGGAGGTGGCCCTGGATGAAGCAGCCAGGTCAGTCTTGGGGGCATCCTTGGGGAGAGACAACCATAGGCAAAGGGAACAGGATGCACAGAGGTCCCAGGAGGTGAGTATGTGAGGCCTGAGTGCTCACAGGAGCAGGACAGACGGACACAACACTTGTGCAGGGCCAGGTCAGGCAAGGACTTGGTTCGCATAGTATGCTTTTGAACAGGTCCTGGGGAGGACGCTGCAGCAGGGAAACGGAACCCCGGGCGTGGCATTTCTACACAAGGCTCTGTGCTTCTATTCTAACTGGGGTGGGAGAGAAGAAGAGAGGCCCTGACTTGGGGTTCACAGGCTGCTTCTGCCTCTGTATGTGGGGACGGGGTGAGAGTGAGGGCACCAGGATGAGAGATGTAGAGAATGGCTGGCAAAGGAAAAGTCAGACTTAGGATTATCTTAAAGTTGAAGCCACAAAGTTGGAGGGCCCCTACTGCCTTCCGTCAGGTATCGACCTCGTGGACCTGGCGTCAGACATCCTGCAGCCCCAAGGAGATGATGGGGCCCGCATAGCCTGGTACCTCCGTAACCTCATCAGCACCTACCAGAAGACCTTCAGTGTCATCGAGCAGGTGACTCTGGGGGGCTGGAGAGCACTCCCTGTGCCCTCCTCTCTCCAGCCAGCCTGACCCCTCACTTTCCCCTCCAGTGCCCCAAGCCTGTGATTGCTGCCATCCATGGGCACTGTATTGGTGCAGGTGAGTCTGCAGCCACCAGGGCCTCAGATCTCAGCACTGTCACCGCTTAGACTTGGTCCCAGGATGCAGCCTCGAGTCATGGGAGGAGGGGGTTGTTCTTTCCATTGTTCAGTGCTCCTGGCCTCTTTGTCCCAGGCGTGGACCTCATCACCGCCTGCGACATCCGGTATTGTACCCAGGACGCTTGCTTCCAGGTGAAGGTGAGTCATCCCTTGGGCTCTTATTGCAGGGGTCCTCCATGGTCCTGGGCAGTTAGTGGAAGATCTGGGGCAGGGCAGGAACAGAGCAGGCCAAGAGAGCGAGGCTTCCTGCAGAGAGAACCGAAGCTTGCAAAGTGAGGCTGGAGTCAGGCACCATGGTGCATACCTGTAATTCCAGCACAGGAAGGTTGAGGCAGGATTGCAAGTCCAACTTTCACCTGGGTCAAAATCCTCTCGGAATATAAAATGGCCAAGGATATAGCTCAGTGAAGGGCTATATCCTATGTGATGCAAAAAAAGAGAAAAATGAGGCATGGTGTCAGAGGAAGTCAGGGTGGGCACTGGGGGGAGGTCTTGAAGGCATCAGGGTATGAGTGTGGTCCGAAGGCTGGGTTGGATTGGCCCAGGGAGGCAGGACAGAGTCCCCGATGCAGGAAGGGTGGTGGGAAAGGCTAAGAAGGGCAACCCCCTGTAGATTGCTGGGCTGTTCCTGACCAACTGAGAAGGGCAGGCAGTTGGCGGGCAGGCTCTGCTCAAGACTGAAGGAACCCACCTGGGCCTAAGCACGTCTTGATAGGGAACGTTCAAGTGTTTGGAGGGATCATTGAGCTGGAGGCAGTAGACCTCTGCGGGACTCAGACTGTATAGACATCAAGGTGTGGGACTGAGCAGAAAGTAAACCCTGATGGGACTTTTCCTCCAGGAAGTTGACGTGGGCCTGGCGGCCGATGTGGGAACCCTGCAGCGCCTGCCCAAAGTCATCGGTAACCAGAGGTGGGTGCCTGAGGGAAGCCAGAGAGGGGACCAGGAGGCTTTGCTGTTCCCTGCCCAGGTGACAGCCATAATCCTTTTGCAGCCTGGTCAACGAGCTGGCCTTCACCGCCCGCAAGATGATGGCTGATGAGGCTTTGCACAGTGGGCTGGTCAGGTAGGGGCCTAGGCTTGGGATGTCTGGGACAGCCATGCTGGACAGAGCTCTCACCGTCCTCTGGGGCCCTTCGAGGCTTAGCTTCCCAGTGTGACACAAGCCCTTCAGGGGTCTCCCGCCTTCTCTTGGGCACGGGCACTTCCCCAGCAGGGAGGCGCAGGAGAGTGCTGTTACTCTTTTCTCACCCCTTTTTTCACAGCCGCATGCTCCCAGACAAGGAGCGCATGCTCGATGCTGCATTCACCTTGGCCACTGAGATTTCCAGCAAGAGCCCAGTGGCTGTGCAGGGCACTAAAGTCAACCTGATCTATGCCCGAGACCATTCAGTGGCCGAAAGCCTCAACTACATGGTAAGGCACTCACTCCAGCCAGTCATAACCCTGCCCTGATCTTGGATTGGCCAGTTGGGACCTGGGGGTTGTGTGCAAGCTTGATCTTTGTTCTCTGGTTGGTGTGCTGTTAGCCTTTCCCTGCCTTCTACCCAGGCTTCCTGGAACATGAGCATGCTGCAGACCCAGGATATCATCAAATCTGTCCAGGCAGCGATGGAGAAGAAGGACATGAAGAGCGTGACCTTCTCCAAGTTGTGAAAGCTCGAGGTTTCCAGTCCCTGGCCCGGGGTCACCAGAGTCAAAGTTACACCATCTGCCACCTGTTTCCTTATCTATGGGAAGGACAGATTGGTGAAGATGGTCTTCTGTGTGCCTTGCCACACAGTCTCCAGTTTATAAGTTTATGACACTGATTTCTCCACTCCCAGGTCCTTATCTTTACTCACAAACAATAAAGACTTGTAAATAACCTGGTGTTTTTATTGCACAGAGGCAGGGGACATAAGCAGGCTAAGGTGCTCCATGACACCCAGCATTTGAGAATGTTGGGAACAGAGATCTGAGTCCTAGGGATGAGAGCCATCCCTGCCCCTGGGCTGAGGGTTCGCAGAGGGTCTGATGCTGCCCAGTCTTGGTGTGCACCATGTACCTAGCAATTGCCTTATTTCTTTAAACTTTGAGTTTTTTGTTTTGTTTTGTTTTTTTGCACCGGCAGTCGAACTCAGGACCTTGCACTTGCCAGGGAGGCACTTATGCCACTGATCTATATCCCCAGCTGGTTTGTTGTTTCAGTACTAGAGGTTAAACTTAGGGCCTTCAAACTGAGGTACAGCTATAGTCTCCTGCTCCCCCTTTAAAGGGGTAGGTTTGTTACTTAGCTCACCATTTGTAGAGGTTTCAGTCCATAAATCAACTGGCTCCAAGGCAGGGTGGCTGGCAGAGTAGCATCACAGAGCAGAATCAGTTCATGGCAAGCTGAAGACAGCAAAAGCAAGCAAGGGCCCTTGACAGCACTCTTCTGCCTCTTTTATTCAGGCTACTCAGGGTAGGTAATACAACCATCATCCTGGTGCCTTTGATCCTAACCTTAGGGCACCATGAATCAGCTCCAGAGTCATACTCTAGATTCAGCAGCCTCTGAAAAATCCCCACCTAGGACTGCAGGAGGCTTTGAGCAGGAGGGACATCTAGACACAAGCCATAACTGTCTACCCCTGGCCCGCCAAAGACTCATGCACATCGCTTTATTTGAAAGGCATTTAGTCCATCTTCAAGAATTGCCCAAGTCCTAACACTTTTAGCATTGCTGAAATTTCCAAGTGCAATCTCTGCTGAGCTTTATAGCAAACTCTTAGCTGTCTTTTGTTAGGTTTTTTGAGACAAGGTCTCATCTATAATCTAGCTGCCCTTAAATTCACTATGTAGCCCAGGCTGGTCTCAAACTCAAAGTGGTCCTCCTGCTCCAGCCTCCCAAGTGCTGGGATTATAGGCAAGCACTACCATGCTCAGTCCCAGGCCTTTTTTTTTTTTTTTTTTTTTAAGACAGGGTCTTACTAAATGGTTAAACTGCCCAGGCTAAACTTGAACTGGCAATCCTCCTGCACAGCCTCCTGAGTAGCCAGGATAACAGGTGTATGCCACCATGGCCAGCAATCACATTTCTTTAAACTTTGTGTTTTCTTATCCATATGTAATCCTAGCCTTCTGGATTTACATATAAAATGAATCCAAGTGGGCTGGAGAGTTAAGCTCAGCGGCATAATCTCCTGCCTTGCAAGTGCGTGGTTGTGACTTTGATCCCTGGTACCGACAACAAATAAAATGCATCCAAGAGACCAATCATTGACTTACTCCCTTTTGTATGCTGCATCCTGTTCTGAGCATTATTAACTAGTGACCCCTGTGAGAGTGATGCTGTGGGCGAATGGAGGATCAGGTGCTGAACTAGAAACCAGTGAGGCAGGGAGCAGAACCCTGGCTCCAGGGGCCTGTGTTCCACCCACTGTGCAAACAGCATGCCCTCTGGGGTGAGGATGTGCAGGACAGACCTGAAGCGGGGTCTCTCCCAGCCCCTCCCTGCTGCCACTGCCCATCTGTCCCCCACATTCCTGCAGTCCTGCTCTGGCCTGCCCACCTGCCCACCCCCCCACCCCCCGTCTCGCCCTCTCTGTGCCAACACAGGTCAGGCAGAATTTTATAGGCTCTGATAAGGCCCTCACCAGACCGAAGTTCACTATATTTCCTCTTTACAGGAGAGGCGGGGTCATGAGTAAGGCTGATAGGGAACAAGAGGTTAGGGTGTGTCCTAGGCAGCCCCAGAAGAGGGACCTGGCAGACCCTCCCCTGCCAGCCCCTCCCCCTGGGTATAAGGGCCACCTGCCACCTGTCACCAACCTCCATTCCAGTCCTACTGCCTTCCCAGGACAGCTGCCCATCCAGCTTCAACATGGCCTTCGTCCCTGCACCGGGCTACCAGCCCACCTACAACCCGGTGAGAAATGGCCCCACGCACTGATTCACCTGACCTGGATCCTTGGGGGCCCCATCCCTGGGGTCTGATTTATCCGATACTGACTCTGAGGCTGGAGTCACCCCCACCTGGACGCCCAGCCTGTTTGAAGCCACATCTAACTCCAGGAGCCAACCTCATCCCCAGCCCTTCACCCTGAGTTTCTCTTCCCCACATAAAGGAAGGGGGGAGGCCAGTGGGGTAAAGGCTCTGACGCCCCTCTCTGGCCCCCTCTACAGACTCTGCCGTACAACAGCCCCATCCCAGGCGGCCTCAGTGTGGGAATGTCAGTTTATATCCAAGGAGTGGCCAAGGAGAACATGAATCGGTGAGACCCTCCCCTGCTAGTCTAGTTTATCTGGGAGCCGCTGGTCTGCCCAAGAGGCCTTCTTCTCTCCCTTTCCTGCACCCTGGAGAGGTTTTTTTGTTTCTCGTTTTTGCTGGGTAGCCCAGGCTGGCCTCAAACTCTCAAACTTGAGGCGATCCTCCTTTCTCAGTCTCTTGAGTGATGGAATTACATGCATATGCCACCATGCCTGGCACAAGGAGAGGGGTTTTGCCTCCTCAACTGATGGGAGCAGGCAGGGAAGGAGGACAGCTGAGGAAGACAGTCCAGGCAGAGGGTACAACCAGTGCAAAGGCCCTGAGACAACCGCACATCTGCCCTGTCAAATGCCAGCCTCCTAAAGGCTGCTGTGTTGGGCAGTGTGGGACAGGCTCTGGCATGGGTATCCACAGGATCTCTCTAGCAGTAGAGGGAAATGACCTGCAGGGGCCAGGAAGAAGCAGGGATATTCCAGCCATTAGATATGAAGTGCTTAGGGCAGGGCCTAATCCATGATAAATAAGTGCTGGAAAATGCCCAAGTCAACTGGTGGCAGTTGAAGTTGGGGGAGGGAGGAGTGCCCAGAAAGAGAATCTATCAAACTGGGTATGGTGGTGCACACCTCTGATCCCAGCCCTTGGGAGGCTGAGGCAGGAGGATCAACTCGAATTTGAGGCAGCCTGGGCTACATCGTGAATTCAAGACCAACATGGACTACATATTGCAGCCCTGTCTCAAAAAAAAAAAAAAAAAATTAAAACCAAGAAAAACTGGCCAGTGATTTAGTTCAGTGGCATAGCACCTGGCAAGTGTAAGGTCCTGAGTACACCCCCCACCACCACCAAAAAGAGGAGAAAGTGGAAGCAAAGGAGTGGCTGTGGGGCTCTGCCTCCTGCAATGTGGCCGTGACTTCCCTCCTCACCTGAGTCACCAGGGCTGGTTGGGTCCGAGGCCGCCTCAGGGAGGGCTAGGCCCGGGCACGAGCAGCTTCTTGGAGAGGCTCTGCATGCTGGCTGGCAGTGTCCGGGAACCGGCCCTGATGTTTTCCCAGGTTCGCTGTGAACTTCATGGTGGGAGGCTCCCCCGGGTCAGACATCGCCTTCCACTTCAACCCCCGCTTTGACGGCTGGGACAAGGTGGTCTTCAACACGCAGCAGGGTGGCCAGTGGGGCCAGGAGGAGCGGAAGAAGAGCATGCCTTTCAGCAGGGGCTCCCCCTTCGAGCTGGTCTTCATGATCCTGCAGGAGCACTACAAGGTCCCAGCACCGCCTTCCCTCTTCCTTCCCTCCTCCTCCCTCCCCTCCGCCTCCCTCCTCCCTTCCTGCTTCATTTTGGCCTGCTGGTACTGTTGAGTGAACCCAGTGTTTGGCACTGAACTGTATCTGCAACTCTTTATTTTGAGACAGGGTCTCACTAAGGCAGAGCCATCCAGCCTGGGTTCAAACTCCTGCCTCAGGAGAGAGTGCTGGGATTCCAGCTTCACCATGCCCAGCTTTCTATTCCTTTCTTCCACCTGCCGGGAGCCTTCTGTCCCAAGGAACCCACATCTTGTCTTTTGGGGTCTCACTGAGCAAGGACACTAGCTGTGTTTGACCAGCGACTCTGGACCCACACAAAAGGAAGCCTCAGACACAGAGCCTGTCTCCCACCCACTCAGCTGTCCCCTCTGGCCCCCGCCCTTCATCTCTTCCACACGCTCCCCTTTCCATATTATTTGAAAGTAAATTCCAGACATTACATCATTCCGTTCATAAATACTTTCTTTACAACACATAATAGTCACAATGCCATAATCACACCTAAAATGAATTGTTCTTCACGTCCCCATGAGTCGTGTCCTGTCCTGTTCTGCTGTCTCTTAAATGCCGGGCCTCTGTTGTTTTTCCCAGCGTGTTTGAATCTGAGCCTGCACAGGCCCACACCGCTGAGACATACTGCACAGGTGGCCGTGTGGTATTTGACAACAAGACCACTGGGCTTTCTGCAAGCAGAATGTAGCCCAGAGCCAGCCCCGCAGCCGGATCCTGACCTCCAGCTCTGAACCCCCATGAGCCCATTGCTCCTGCCAGGGTGGGCCACGTCCCAAGTCCTCTCCTTCCAGGGCGGGCCTGCCTTTTATTTACAGTGTAGCATACTCAGCACTGCACCACTGAATTTTTTTCTTTCTTTCTTTCATTTTTTAATTTTTGAGGTAGGTTCTCACTAGTTCACCTAATTGCCCAGGCTGGGGTTGAACTTGCCGTCCTCCTGCCTCAGCCTCCAGAGTGCTAGGATTACAGCTGTGAGCACATTTGTTTCTACCCCAACTGTACCTCGGGCCTCTAGGCTCCAAGGTTTCTGACTTCTGAGGCTCTTCACCCCTAAGGCCTTGAACCCCAAGTTGAAAAAACCTTGCTTCTTCCTCCCCAAAGTCATAGCACTGATTCAACCCTCTCCTCCTGGCCTTCAGGTCGTGGTGAATGGAAACCCCTTCTATGAGTACCGGCACCGGCTGCCCTTGCAGATGGTCACCCACCTGCACGTGGATGGGGACCTGCAGCTTCAATCCATCAACTTCCTCGGAGGCCAGTCTGCCCCAAGCCACGTACGTAGGGTCCCCCCCTTTATTTGCTTCCTTCCTTCCTTTCTTTCTTCTTTAATCTCATCTCACTTTCATTTATTGCTGAGCAATTGATTGGTGCCAGTCCCATCAGGCGGTGGCATCAAGGACTCTGTGGTGACCAAGAACATCCGCTGGGATGACAGACATCCACAGATGGTGGTGGCTTCTGGTGGTAGCTAAGCCCATGACGGGGGATGCAGGTAGATGGGTGGGTCAAGGTGGGAGATCTACAGGTGGTTTGAGTCTAAAGGAAGAGCTTGGCCTAGTCAGGAGTCAGAAGGCTTGGGGCTAGGGAGGAGTTGAATTAAGTCAATAAGCATAGATAAAGGATTCACAAACAGCAAACAAATTCACCCTGGGTTGTTTAAATGCACCATGGGATTAGTCACTTGGGAACCTCAAAGGTACAGTGCGTGGGTGCCACACACTCATCAGAGCTATAGAGAGAAAAAAGCCACCCAGTCTCATTTAGTGACAAGCATGTGGGACAGCCAGCCACAGGGCTGTGAGGGGCGTGAACTGTACAGGCTCCTTGGAAAATGGCTGCCAGTGTCTGAAAGCTGAATAAACCCATGTCCAAGTGGTCTAGAAACTCCACTTCCAGGTCCCAATTGAGCAAATGCCCGCCAATACCCACCTGCTACCCACAGCAGCGCCTATGCAAGCCAGGCTGGGGCCATCTAGCACGGGAGGCCCCGAAACAACACACCAAAATGAAACAAAACCCAGAAAGCCTCAAAGTTGAAAGTACCAGGATGTTCATTAGCAGGTGAGCGAGGAAGGACAGTCAGTGTATTCATGACCCAAACTTGAGAGCGAACAATTTATAGCTATGCACATGGAGGGGCCTTTTCATCATCAGATATAGAATCAGACAAAAACATTTGTAGCCACGAAAGAAGAAAAAATTCAGAAGGGAATGTAGGGAGATGTGTGATAAAGCCACAAGGAAAGGGAATTCCCTATAAAACTTGGACTCGGAGCCAAGTGTGGTGGCGCACACCTGTCATCCCAGCACTCTGGAGGCTGAGGCAACGGATCACAAGTGTGAGCCAGCCTAGAGAAGCTGTGTCTCACAACAAAACAATTACAAAGAGAGAGAGAGAGAGAGAGAGAGAGAGAGAGAGAGAGACAGAGAGGCAGAGAGACAGAGAGACAGAAAGAGATGAAAAGGCCCTGGGCTCAATCCCCATACTATAACAAAACAAAACCCCAAAACTTGATTCTTGATTTAGGTAATATTACCTGTGAGGAAGCGTAGGGAAGGCACACATCCAGCAGCACAGGTACCTGATGACACATGTACCCATCTGAAGGCTTTACATTTCCCAAAGCATTTATTTGTTTGTGTTTTTATTTTTTTCCTGTCTTGAGACAGGGTTTCATGAAATCACTAAATTGCCCAGGCTGAGCTCAAATTATGATCCTCCTGCCTCAGCTTCCTAGATTGCTGGGATCACAGTGTGTGCCACCACACCCACCTGTGCTTCCATATCACGTGGTTTCCACGCTGAGCAGTGGGAGGGGAAAAGGGAGAGTCCTGAGGCAGCAGGAAGATAGCACAGGGATGCTGCAGAGAACACAGTTCACGGGCCTTGTCCTAAGGCTTTGTGGTGAAGCCCACAGGACACTGGTGACCGCTTGGCATTGGGTCCCCTGCTTGAATCAATCACCTGTGTCTCTGTGGGCTTCAGAGGTCACTCACATGGTGATAGTGGGCTGCCCAGAGCCAGGACTCTTAGCACGCTGTAGTCCTGAACATGGGGTTCCATTCCTGACCTTCCTCTCTGTACCCACAGGTACCCATGGGTAGGCCGCCTCACTATCCAGCGGTAAGTACCTGCTGGGGGACGATTTCCCAAGGGGGAGGAGAGTGGCTGGGGAGGCCCCAGCCTCATCATCCTGCCTCTGTGCATCTTCTAGGGTCCTGGCTATGGTGCACCTCCTCCACACATGAACAACCTGCCCGTGAGTGCCGGGGCGCTGTGCCCGGGGTGCTGAGGGTGGGTGTGGGGCTGGCTTTGATCAACCTGCTCTGAGAAACCCCTGTGTGCAGAGCTGCATCCAGCACGGCCCAAAAATATTGCTTCTCCCTCACTTCACAGGTCATGTCGGGACCCCCAGTCTTCAATCCGGTATGTCGTCCTGCAGGTTTGGGGCCCCATGGACGGGCTCGGTGAAGGGGAAGCAGGGACTGGGGGTAGGGAGAGGCCAGGAGAGGGGTAATGGAGTGGTGGGATGAGGGTGTTTGGGGTGGAAGGTGGGGAGAAGGTATAATTGGTGACTAGGGTCAGGGAGGGGTCTTGAGACATTTCCAGGAAGAACAGAACCTCTTTCTGAAAAAATGTTTCTGGACCTGGACTGTGGTAATCTGAAAGCTGATGGGACTGTATGTTCTCCACAGCCTGTGCCATATACGGGGAGACTGCATGGGGGGCTCACCCCCCGAAAGACCATCATAATCAAGGGCTTTGTACCCCCCACAGCCAAGAGGTAAAGCCCCAGACTGAGGTGAAAGTGGCCTGGTCCCCTCCCTCAGACCTCGGGTTCAGGCCCAGCCTCCTCCCTCACACTCAGGACCCAGGCCCAGCTTCCTCTCAGACCCGGGGTCCAGACCCCAGTCCTTTCTCCTCTGGAGACCCAGGCACTGAACCCGCACTTGACTTCCCCTCTTTGCTCCCAGCTTTGCCATCAACTTCAAGGTGGGCTCCACAGGGGAACTGGCACTGCACATTAATCCCCGTCTGCATGAGGGCGTCGTGGTCCGGAACAGCCATCTGAATGGATCATGGGGTCCTGAGGAGAGGAGGCTCCCCTTCAACCCATTTGGCCCGGGGCAGTACTTTGATGTGAGTCCGGGGTCCCCTTCCCTAGCTCCCTGCTTGTCTCCACTCCTGGGCCTCACACCCGTCCCTCCCTTCTCCCACAGCTCTCCATTCGCTGTGGCAACGACCGCTTCAAAGTTTACGCCAATGGCCAGCAACTCTTTGACTATGCCCATCGTCTCCCAGCCTTCCAGCGTGTGGACATGCTGGAAATCCATGGTGATGTTGCCTTGTCCTATGTCCAGATCTGATCTATACCTGGGCACAGTTCTGGGAAAACAGAAAGATCCTCTAGGATTGCCTTCTGAGCACCTAATAAAGTGTGTAAGTGTCTCATGTGTCTGTGACCCCACTCACCCCCCATTGCTCCTTTCTTCCTTGGGTCAGTCACATACTGTGCATTCATTTATCTGCTCATCTGACCATCTTCCTGACCATCCCCATAAATCCAGTTATGCCCCAGGTGCTGGTTTAGGGTTCTGTGTGTATCAGCTCATTCACTTCTCACCACAAACGCCAGGAACTAAGAACTGCTGTCATTCCTCTGAAACAGATGAGGAAACAAGAAAGAAAAGAAATCAACTCGACCAAGGTTACAGCATCCATAAATATCAGAACCTGGATTCAAATACAGTGGGTCTGGTCCCCAAAGCTACACACTCCAACTCCATGCATCTACCTCTCCACTCACTTCTCTCCATGTCTCCAAGCAACATGCAACCACCGAGACATCCATCTACCAATCCGCTGGTCCAACTATCCTTTCACCCAACCCTTTACCCATCTCCTCATCCACTTGCCTCTCCCCCCTCCAGGTCATCACTTTCCAATCTCTCCAAACATCTTCCTATTGACTGTGCATCCGTCCATTCAGAATCCACCCATTCATCCACCCCCGAGTCCGCCTCGCTCTGTCTACCAGGTGCTCATGCATGCACCCATTCAGTCCTATAGCCACCCCTGTGGCCATCAGAACATGTCTAACACACACCCCCACCCTCAATTCAGCCGTCTACTCACCGCACCATTTCTCTAGTATGGGCATCCATCCATCCATCTCTTCATTATCTCTTCTTCCATCCATTTCTATCATTTCATGCTGGAAAGTGAGGCATTTATTTATCTCTTCAACTCCACATCTGTCCACTAATCATGTGCTGTCTGTTCAACCATCTTCTAGGACTGTGCACCCAGGGGTAGCAGTGGGGAGCTCACATCAGCGGCAGAGTCTGGAGGTGCACAGGAAAGAGAGTCTGAGGTTGGAACTCAGCCAGGAGGCTGAGACCCCATACATCAGAAGGAGTCACATATTAAATTTTTGCCTCCACAATCAGTTTCTGTTAGCAGCGGAAATGTACCACTCATTATTGCTCAGCACCATTGGGCTGGCAAGGCTCAGCTGGGGCCTCTGGTTAGGTCTCAGGGTGTCCCTTTTTGGATTCCTGGGGAGGCGCTCACATCCAAGGCCTCTCCTGTTGATAGAATCCAGTTGCTTGGGGCTGGAACTTGGGACCCCACTTCCTCCCTGGCCACCATCAATCTGGAATCTCTCTGGGCTCCTGCAGGGCCCAACATTCTTCAGCTTCTTGCCTCTCCAGCCTCGACCCATCTCATTCTTCAAACCTAACTTCTGCCCCAGCCCCACTCACTCCAGCTGGAGAAATTCTCTGCTTTTCTTTGTTTTCTTGTTTTTCCAGTGAAGTCTCACCATATTGCCCAGATTGGCTTTGAACTTACACCAGAATAGCTCTAAACTGTCTGAATTTAGGATCTTATGAAACTAGGTTTTGGCCAGTGCATGCCTGGAATCCCAGCACTCAAGAAGCTGAAGTGGGAGGATCACCAGCAGTGTGGGGCAGCTTGTATTATGGTAGTAAGACCCCCTCTGCTCCCAAAAAAGATACTAGATTGGGCCTGCCTGGCAAATTCATGTGTCCCGACTGAATTTGCCCGTGTCACAAAGAACCCAGGATCAAGGGAGTGAGGAGCTGGCTCCTTGCTGCATCAGGACCCATCTTCTCAGCAACATTAGATTTATGACCAGTAACCTAAGTTCCCACTCTAGACCTAGAAAAAGAAGATTCAATCAAACACAACCCCCCAAAACAGAAAATAATGAAGATCTAAATGGAAATCAATACAACAGAAAATATAAAAATAAACCGGATATGGTGGCACACACCTATAATCCCAACATTCTGAGAGGCTGAGGTAGGAGGATTGAAAATTCAAGCCCAGACTGGGTAATTTAATGGTTTAGTGAAAATCTATCTTAAAGTAAGAAAGACTGTGAGTTCTATCTCCAGTATCATGAAATAAATAAAATTAAAAAGGCTGGAAACATAGTTCAGTGGCAGAAACTCCCTGGCTTGCTCAAGATGCTTGGTTTGACTGTAGCACCACATATAGAAAATAGAAAAAAAATCAATAAAATAGATTTGTCCATAAGCAGATGTATGGATAAATAATGAACTACATGCAAACATGTGAGTGAGCCAGGCGTGATGGTGCACACTTGTAATCCTAGCACTCCAGAAGCTGAGGCAGGAGGTTGCTGTGACTTTGAGGCCACACTGGCTACATAGTGAGTTCAAGGCCAGCCTGGGGGGGGGGGGAATAAGACTTTAAAGTGATGAAAATATAGGAAATTGTAAGCGCATTACAAACTGCATTTTCCCAGAGACCATAAGAAGGTCCGCGATGCGGGGACAGAGGGTGGTCTGAGCCCCTCCGCGCATGCTACCCTGTGACCTCCAAAGCTTTACTATTTCCCACAAACAAAAGCAAGTTCTCATGTACTCACTGCAAGGAAAGTGTTAAAAAGTTATCTTTCCATTGGATCACTGCTACTGAAGCCACAGACTCAGGCCTCTGTCCCAGATCCAGCCAGTAATGTGTCACCTTCCTCTGTGTACCTTGAACCCTTTCCCCTGGGAAAGCTTGCAAATATTCCTAAATCCTCCACACAGGCAATAAAAATTAACTCATTCAACTCGCTCCCAGGAGGACCAGAGGACGCAGACGTCTCAGGTCGTCAGATTGGAGAGGGGACCCTTCCAAGCCCGGGCTGGCCACCGGACATGGAAGGGGACAGCCAGAGCCTAAGGTCGCAGCCCCAGGAAACCTTGGCTGCTGCAGGAACTGGGGCTGGATCCGCCCTTCCTTCCGGACCGCACAGCAGTGAGACCCCAGTTTTTCCAACGCTGGGGGCCACCGAGGATCTGGACACGAAGTCGAGCACGAGGTTTGCCACCAAGGCTCTGGCAGCGCGGCTGGAGACCCGAGAAGTCCGTGGGCATCCCGGACTCCCCTCGGCCTGAGCTCCCCGCGGCGGGGACTGATCCTTCCTCCTCGCGGGGCGCAGTCAGCAGGGCCGCGGCGGGAGTCTAGCCTTCCCTAGGGGGCGCCAGGGGGCGCTGTGGGACGTTTCGGGTTCGTTCACCAGGATCATGGGGATTCCGTGTCCCCTACAAAGTCTGAGGCCCTTAGGTCCGCGATGCGGGGACAGAGGGTGGTCTGAGCCCCTCCGCGCATCAGAGCCAGCACGTCCGGCCGAAGTTAGGCCCCGGGGGCTGGCTCAGCCCCCCGCCGCCCAGCCCTGACCCCGCGCCTCGGGCAGATCGCCTGAGTGTCCTCTCCACGGAAGAATGTACTGGGGAGGAGGGGACAGGTTGTAGGTTTTTGGTTTGGTTTGTTTCTTGCGGTGTTTGTTTGTTTGTTTGAGACAGGGTCTCGTAGTCCACGCTGTTTTGTTTTGTTTTTGGTACTGAGGATCAAACATGATGACTATGCTTGCCAGGCAGGCGCTTATGCCACTGAGCTAAATCTCGAGCCCATCCCCACTCCACGCTGGTTTTGAACTCTGTTGGAGACCACTATGAAGGGGCTCTGAGCAGGATTTAAAATTAACTAATTGACTTTCTATGTTTATCTGTGAGTCTGTGCTAGGCCTCGGCCCCTTGCCTGGTGACAGGAGCTGATTCATAGTAAGTGAACCTCAATGAATCACTGGTGGTGGCTGAGGCCTGTAGTGGCCTGTGAAGCCAGAGATACCTTAAAAGGGCAAGGCAAGGCTGCAGTTGCAGATACTTGGCTCAAATATAATTAAATACATAGAGACTGCAGCTGCAGGAATTGTGCCTACCATGTCATAACACGGTTCTCCAAAAAAAAAAAAAAAAACAAAAAAGTTCTCCTAAATTGACATGATTGGAGACATCCTTGAAGTGACTCCCAAGGTCCTGCTCATTTCCCGTGCTTTCCTCAGTTTCCCTGCCCTTTGTTTTGGACCTAATAAAAATGGGCAGTCCAGAGAAGTCTTTGTCTTAGCCCTCAGCGTCTCGAACTCAGCTAAAGGGTTTTGATCCTCCTGGAACCTTAAAATCATACCACTTGTCTCATTTTATTGAAGCCTTCGCCATACACTCATTTGGGAGATTGGGGATCTTGGTCAGGACCCAGTAACTACGTAGCCAGTCTGCCCTTAAATCGCAGAGATCATTCTGCCTCTGCCTCCCAGGTGCTGGGATCACAAGCATGCCCCACCACACCTGGCTATGATTATGTGTGTGTGTGTGGGGGGGGTACTGAGGATCTACTCCAAGGCCTTGTGCATGCGGGCAAGAGCTCTACTACTGAGCCACATCACCAGCCCTCTGACTATGGTTTTGAGTTTGAATTCTGCTTGGAAGGCACATACCCTTTGTCTTGGTTTATGTCTGTGTCCCTCAGGCCTCATGAGTTTGCACTGTGTATTTGTGATTGGTTCATTGTCTAGTGCTTGGATTGATGGTGTCAGTGCTGCACTCAGATAGGGGTGGAACCAGGATGTGATGTAATGGCAGGAAGAAGGTGTGTCTTGCTCTTTGCCTGTTTGAGTTTGCTGTTTGCAGCCGCCATGAAAGGCAGCCCAGCCATGCCCGTCTGCCTGGGAGCCAACTGAGCGTGGACTGAAACCTCCAAAAACTGTAAGAATTAAACCTTTCCTTTCCCAACTTGGGCATCAGGTATTTTGTCTCAGCGACAAGCATAAAGTAACCAAGACACCATTCAAACCTCAAATACTGTTATCACTGCTATGAGCCTCTTTCCTCCTCAGTATGAAGGCAACACACACAAAGAGCCACATGATAACATTTTATTTGCCATCTGAGGCTCCGTCTCTACCTTCCCCATCAACATGGGTTCCACTCAGAGGACCCTCAGAAAGTCCAGCTTCACATCACCAGCCACCTCCAGCATCTGAATGTTCCCCATGGGCAGCCGGTGCTGGAAGTGATGACACACCCCGTCCCCGACCACCGCCTGCAGGGAGACAGTCAGGTTAGGATCCCAGGCCCTGAGGCAGGGCTCAGTCCCAGCTCTGCAGGTGCTGTGTGACCTGGACATCGCTCGCCTCCTGAATTTCAGTTTCCCCAGTAGAAAAAGAAATTAATAGTAATTCCTTGTGGGTTTTCATTTGGACTTTTTTTTTGTACCAGGGATCAAACTCACAACCTTGCACTTGCCAGGCAGGCGCTTATGCCACTGAGCTAAATCCCTGGCCCTCTTTTTGGTTTTTTGAGAAAAGGTCTCAGGATGTAGTTCAGGTTGCCCTGGAACCCACTGCATCCCCAGGGTGGCCTACTGGCTGCAGTCCCCTGCCTCAGCCTCCCACAGTGTGCCCCACCACACCTGCCATGCCTCACGTTAATTGTAGCAGGACCAACTGAGCCTCCTGTTCTCCACAGTACAAATGTGCTCTTTCATGTGGGGGTTGGAGTGATTGTCATCATTTCGGTGTCAGCGTCCCAGACGCTTGTATGCTCAAGGGCAGTTGGTGGGGGCCGTGGAAGGCGCCCCAACCCCAAGTCAGCCCCAGCAGAGCCCAGACCTCGGGCACCAATGGCAGGGGCAGGGACAGGGGCCACCCCACCCCTCTGGGACGCCTGAGCCCTGGCCCCGGCAAGGCCCCCCGCCGCCCCGCCCCACCTTGAAGCCCTCCTCAGTGGCAATGAGCAGCAGGTCGAAGGGCTGCCCACGCTGGAACGGGAGCCCCACGCCGCGCTCTTCGCGGCCCCATTTGCCCTTGTCCTTGCTGTTCAGCACCACCACGCCCTCGTCCAGCCGCGGGTTGAAGTGCAGCGCCGCGTCTGCCTCTGGCCCGTCGCTGAGCAGCAGATTCACGTGGAACCTGGGGGACGGCGGGTGGCGTGGCTCAGCCAACACCCCACCCAAGTCCTCCTGGCTTGGGGCCCACACTGCCGCCTCCCGAGCGCCCCAGGTTCCCAGGGAGTGGGACAGATCCCACCAGCCAGAGGGGAGGCCCCAGGTTCCCCAGGTGGTCAGAAGGTTCTAGCTGGGACACACTTCCTTCCACCTGGGCCAGAGTCACCGACATCAGGGTCAAGGTGTCCCCATTTCCAAGGATTCTGCCCCCACTTCGGGTCCCAGAGGACCTGGAGCCATACATCATAGGATCTGGCTATTTCTGGGGTACCCCACCTCCCAGGAGGCCTCCAGTCCCACACCCAGAAAGCCACAGGGGTGGCTGGCAAGGCCACCTGATGCTTGCCACACCTCTGGCACTTCAGCCTCATTCCAGAGTCCTCAGAGTCTCAGAGCCAGGTCCTTAGGGACACTTGGGGACCAAACTCCACAGTCAGGGGGAGAGGAGACAGGAGGTCACACTCAGAAAGTCTGAAATGAGCCTGGGAGTCCCAGACTGCTTGCTGAAGATGGCACAGGGCCCCTGCTCAGGGCTGCAAGAATTGGGGATCAGCTGAGCCTGGGGACCCCACCCCGTGCCCTGTCTTGGGCTCTCACCTGCCAGCGTTCTCAGGGACTAAGCCCCGAATTTTCACCACAGTGCCTGCACGGACGCCCCCTGGCAGCGAGGTCTTGTGGGGGACATTCTGCAAAGTTGGGGGGAGGACACTGAACCAGGGACACAGGGAAGGGGACAAGATGGGGGAGCCCCGGGAATAGACACATTGCAAGACCAGATGGGCAGATGGCAGAAAAGGGTCCCAGAGAGGAAGGAGAGTGACCCCCCACAGGTGGAGAAACTAGAAGCCAGGAGGCTTCTGCCCTTCCCCAGAGCTCCAGCCGGGTGGCCTGGACCCCACTCACCAAGCTCCCTGCCATGGCTGCTTGGCCAGCAGCGGTGTGGCTGGGATGCCGGGGGCACCCTTCAAGTACTGGTGCGGTGGGGCTCCGACACCCTGGCATTCCACCAGCACCCACACTGGCACAGACCCCAGCCCTGGGGCAATTGAGAGAAGTTGGGACAAGCCCTCCTCCATCTCTTCCTCCTCCTTGGCCCTGTGCTTGCCAGGGTCCCACTGCACTGCCCGGGCCCTGATCTGGGAGATTAGGGGCAGCATGCAACAAGAGCCAGAGCCCCCCAAAACCCACAAAGAGTCCGGCCCTAAGCCAATCGCTCTGCTCTCCTGCCTGCACACAGGGCCTCTGCCAGCTGCATGGGAGGGACTCCAGGTGTGGAGCCTCCTGCTCCATGGGTTGCGGCCCCTTCTCTCTTCCCATCCCAGCCCCTGTCAACCCCAGATGGCCCCCCTCACACCCTGGCCTCCCCCTCTGTGTTGTCACTGTCTCCGCAAGAGCAGCCATGTAGCCGCAGGCTCTCGTGCTGTGTCCTGGTCCCCAGATGTTCCTGGCACATGGTCAGTGCTCAGGGACTCGGGTGAATAAGGGAGACCGAGATCAGCACCCTCCCTCAAGCCTCTGGGTCCCCAGATGTGCAGGCATCGCTGACCCTCAGCTGGGTATGCAGGAGTGTGGTCACCCTGTCCACTGCCAGGACTCTGTACATTTCCCTGC